GTTGACATGGGGAGGCAGAAGCTCCTATGGACCTGTCATTTGGTGGTAGTCAGCTGTTACTAAAGGGGAGGGGGTGTGGCCTAACTAATCAGTGAATTGTTTGAAGAGTCATTCTTCAAACAATACATTGTTGGTTTACTTTCTGCATTGTTTGTTTACTTTTTGTGAACCTTACAGTTTTCTATTTTGTTTGGGTTCCTTTCTGGGGATTTCTTTCTTTTGTGTGGGTGATTATGACATCCCTGCTCCCAGGACCTCTGTGAGGGGTGGCAAAGTTACAACCTCTTGTCTCCAGTAGACTTCTAAGGACTCGCAAGTGCTGATGTGAATTATCGGTGTACAGCTTTCTCAGTGTGGCTAGCTACAGGGAACACTCTTCTGCCCTTCCAGAAACAAGGATGCATAAGAGCATGGAGCAATCCCTGGGAAAGAATTACAGCAGTGTTATATTTTCATTATTTTATCCCTTTTCAGGCAAATTTATAATCTTTATGGTGTAGAATTATACATGAACAGACAATTGGAAAGATGCATTACAGGGAAAACAAACAGAGCTGAGAAGCTGTGCTATAAAAGCCCAAGTACCAGTAATTGACCACCGAGAGCAAGTTTCTCCAAATTGACTGAAAACACAAAACATACTGACACACACCATGTTACCTTGTACATAAATATCACTTCTTAACTCTCGGTACTCTCCCAGAAACAAGCCACTGAACATTTAGGTTGCCAATGCTTGTTGTTTGAGGCATGGGTTAGGCATGAGTTAGTCATAAGCCATTAAGATTTTGGAGCTATGATTATCAAGCATGTTATAGAAATGTTGAACTACAGTGCCAAACGAAGGTGGGCATCATGTAAATTATAATATACATGTTTATAATGATGAAATGCTCTTAAATTTTTTTAATATATCTACCTGACTTATAACTATTTGGAGGATCTCGATACGGACAATTTCTTCAAAAGGTCAGATGTAACACGAATGAAGAGCAAAGGGTTCAAGCTCAACAAGCCACAATGTACGACAGAAAACAGGAGATGGTTTTTCACCTATAGGGTTGTAAACATGTGGAACCACCTACTTGCCGAAGCCGTAAACGCCAAAACTCTGCTGGGTTTTAAAATACAGCTGGAGAAGATCATCAGGGCAAATGGGGGAACCTTTGACAAGATGTCAACTTCCTGTTCTCATTAAGGTCACTAGTATTAGTGGCCCTTAGGTAAATTCAGGTAAATAACCAAAACAAGAGGTACTAAACCTCTTTGTACTCATAGCAACTATGGCAATATATATGTACCTGGATGTACCTTGATGGGGTTCCAGGAGTTGTTCTACTCCCCAAACCCAGCCTGGGGCCAGGCTCGACTTGTGATAGTTTGGTTAATATCTCAATAAGTAATGTAATTCATCTACAAAACAGACTGAGGTGTCATTTTATAGATAAATGTCTCCCCTTTAAAATTACACAATATATTTTACATAAAGTTATTAACAGCATTTTCTGATTCATTTGAAGAGTCAGTAACTTAAGTGGATGAGGACCACCAATTTTATCATGAGCCAATTAGGACAAAAATGAACTATTCCTTTACATTAACATACACAGCTGCTGATTAGATTTTGAGTTATATCAACGAGAAAGCAAAGGCAATTTACTGTAGTAAAATATATTTAAATTTGGCATAACCTGAACGTGTCTGAGGAACTTAAGGAGTTTCTTAGATCAACTTCACCCCAAAGCTGTACAAAGGGAAAATCTAGTTTATCAAAGACTTTAAGGATTTGTTGAGCTTCTTTCAGTATTCTTGAAAAGTTGATACTGTAAAGATATTTTAAGATGATAAGAGGGTCTTTCAAAGCCATGTCAAGAATGAAGCTGCATGTGATGTCAGAATGAAGCATTAGTGGGACTTTCTTAATAATACTAAACAAAGTGGAGATTTCAAGTGTAGGTATGCAGCTTCATCTAGGCATGTATTTACAGTATTAACTTATAAATCACATCTTAGAGCTAAGTCGAGCATACAGTCTTATCAATACCTTAAAGAATACAAGAAATTATAATTAGAAAACCTATTTGAAACTAAAATAACCCCGAAAAATGTTGGGGAAAAAAAAAAAAAGTTGCATTAAACATATGGTAGTCTCCATTTGACTGTCACTACTCAAATTGCCAAGTACAGTACTTCTATAGCTGTGTAAGTGTGAGCATCTGAAGAGTAAATGATTCAAGGGAAAAGTAATTAAGTATTTAACCCCTGCGCTGCGCAAAGCGCCTTTAGGCGCTCTGAGAGTTGTGCTATTTTTTTTTTAATTAGGCTATATTTTAATGTTTTTTAATGTTTTCATTACTCTGTGTTTTTAAATGAAAATAGTTGAGTTTGGAAACATTTTGACAATAAATTTACCTGAATATTTATGTAAACAACTAGAATATGTCCTTAACAATTGCCCCAAGAAGTTTTTGCCGAAACCAGGTGCGCAGTGCAGGGGTTAACATTACCTCTGTACCACAAGACACTCCTGCAATACTCAGAATAATCAAACAATTTATAAAAAGCAGGATCACTACCCACTGTTTATATTTGTTCCAAAAGGCAAATATTGCAAAAACAGTTCATTTGGAGAACTACAACATTTATCTTAAGAGTAGTTAACCAAGGCAGACTTGACGTTCCCAAGCACCGACGGTCAGAGCTCATCACATGCTAAGTCAGCAGTCTACCATACCATCACTGTGAGCCACCTGTGTATTGGCTTTACAATCAAAATTAGTGAAGACATTTGCAGGTGAAGATGTGAAGGAGTGGATGACAAAGTGTGAGAGGTGCAGAGGTTAACAGGTGGGTCAAGCAAGAAGAAAAAGGGAAAGTACACCACTACCAGTGTAGTTGGAACATTATCTCCAGGCAGGGTAGGGGATGAAACCTTCTGACCCCTTCATATACTGCTTGTTTGGCTTCACAGCACCTAGTACAACAGATCAAGGTCACATATCAATTATGAAAAATGTGTACAATTACTAGAAATGCTTAACACTTTGGTGCAATGTCTTTTCATAATTAACAAAATTGCAGATTTTTTAAACAAAAACAACATAAAAGAAAATGCATAAAATTGTTTCCTAAACTAACATGCTCCCTACAATTTTGATAACTACCACTACAAGTCCAATATGTAAATGTGTAGTGACCCTAGTGCCTACAGTCTGAATACAGTTTTTGCACTTGATAATCTGCTTTAAATGAACACTTAAATGGAATGCTAGACTGCATGAATGGAACTGTAGGCAAAAAGCCATTAGAACTGTAATATCTTCAAACAACAATATAATAATATGAATGGTCAGATGAGACGGTAAAATGTGCATAACCACGGTAAAACTAAATGATTGAAATGTAGACGTGTGAAGCTAATCATTCCCTATACCGTATTAGTATTTAGTATACTTTAGTACAAGTCTTTAGTATTTGTATAGCTGTAGGTAATATACACACAAAAACAACAAAGAATAACTTATAGTAATTATCAACAGAAGGCACCAAGCTGGGAAGACGATTTATCACGCATGACTCAAAAAACGATTTTAAGTAAATATGAAAAACTCCTTTCTGAGAGACACGATTTGGTTACCCCCAAATTACCTTTAGGAGCAATCGAATCATGAATCATGTAGGTAGATTTGCTGTGCTCTCTGGACAAGGCACATAATTTATGCAATTTGGCCTTTTCAGCATCACAAGTAAAGGGAACTTTTCAAGTGGTCCCTGCATGATCAAATTAACCCTTGCACTGCACCAGCTGACATATTAAGGGGTGTTCTGGTGCGCAAGCCAACATGTGATTGTGTTAGTATATCATAAGATTCGAAACTCCCATGCATGCATGGGGTCACATATTTGCTTCCTCAGGCCTCCAGTAACCATTCCCCATCTTGAAAAAAACATCCTGAGTCCCTCACTTTGAGAATGCAGAGACACCATCCAGGCACCTGGCTCCAATAGAAGCCAGGCCTGAGACAGAGTTGTTATCCAAAAGGAGGGGCAAGTCCAGAATGAACTGCGGATCTGCACAATCTCCACATGATAAAAAACCTAAATTATTGGGATCGTCTCAAAGCTCTCCAAACGTACTCACTAGAAAGGAGGCGAGAGAGATATCAAATAATATATACGTGGAAAATATTAGAAGGCCACGTCCCAAATCAGCATAGTAAAATAACACGTTCACTAGAGTAAACGATATGCAAGAAATGCAGAATAGAACCAGTGAAGAGCATGGGTGCCATAGGCACAATCAGAGAACACTGTATAAACATCAGAGGTCCACAGTTGTTCAATATCCTCCCTTCCCAGCAAGCATAAGAAATATTGCCGAACAACCGTGGACATCTTCAAGAGAAAACTATATACAGTAGTTTTCTTCAGAGTGCCAAACCAACTGGGTTGTGGTGGGTATGTGGGCCTGCGGGACACTCCAAGCAACAGCCTGGTGGACGAAACTCTCACACATCAAGCCTGATGTTTATACAGTGTTCCTATTTACAACAAAATTAATTTTCAAATTAAAAAAATTTGGACATTACACTTAAATTACAAATGCCTAAGTCATGACTAAGGTGTGCTTGAGATGCATTTCATCAATTTACACCTCCACTGCAACTTTCTATAAATCTGAAAAGTCACACAAAGCAAATACAAAAAAAATTAAATGTCCTCCTTCAGTTGCAATTTGCCATGCATGACAAGTTGCATCCTTTACAAGTACAGTACAGTAATAATAAACCAGCTTACCATTTTCAGCTTGATGGTGGACAAATCAATTTTGCTTGCAGGATTGCAGAGAATTACTGAATGATAGAAATGGTCTACTTATCACAGCCTTCGAGGTACTGTACTGATGATACAGTTAATGACAAAAGCTACTACTACTACATAATTGTTAGCAGTACTATATTAGCTACAAAGTCTGGAGAATTATAGGACTAAGAACTTACGGGCAAGCTCTACTTCCAGGTTGACACGTGTGGTGGTACGTCGGAAAACATTCTTCAACAGCCGAGCAGTTTCGGTGAGCCTGCAAAGCCAGCATATGTTACCAGGGGAGCTCATTTAAACACTATTATCTAACTCAGCCTACTTCACAGAATTTCTTTTCAATTACAAAAGAAGCAGCAGTTAGATCTACTTGTTGACAAAACATATTGAAAGCATTCCAGTACCATAATAAAAGTTACAGTGGTTATGTAATACAAATACTGTGCAAGAGGTACTATCTGGGGATGTTTACAACAGATGTAGCAGCTTTCTTTGCCTTAACAGCATTACTAAATTGGAGCACATCTCAGTGAAGTATAAAGGCTTCATATGAATAAATACACAAACAAAAGTAGAAAAAGTAGACCGAGAACAAATTTAAAACAATTTTCCAAGTAACATAATAGATGGATTACTAAGAAAACAAAATAGATGTGGCATAGTCAGGGGCAGATAGACAATCCACAACTGGTGCGGTGGGGAAACATTTCCAATTGTCCGACTGGAACATGCTGGGGCCTGGGAGACACTCGAGACTACTCAATGCAGTTAGTAATGTAGAATGAAAGTGCATTTACATAAACGATAATGTCTTTCCAGGAGAAACTTTGCATCATAGAGTGCCAATCTACTCACTGGCTAAATACTGAATGACCTTCTAGGTCACTACCCTCAACTGTCACACCTTATAGTAGAAATGACACCACAACAAATTTCTACAATCTGACCTTTCCATATCCTATCTGAATCCAAAGTTAAGAAAATACACCACCAACCAAGAAACCAAGCACTTGGGACAACCAAATGTTCTGCTTAGAGAAATGCTTTACATATACACTCATAGTTTGATTTCAGACCTATTGCACTTTGTTACTCTGTAAGGCAAGTGTTACTGGAAACCACTACAACTAGGGGCCAGGATTACTTGGGCTGCAGAGTGCTGCAAACAAAAGCTACAGGGGAGAAAGAGGCTGAAGTAACATTTGCCTTAGTATACAAATCTCAGCAGCAGAGATGGACATCAACATGATGTCATGAAGTAAACTTATCTGTGGGTATCCAAAACCTCCAAGCACTGATGTCAGCACATCATTGCCAAAGAAAATGCCTCCAGTGTAGCAAATACCCTAAGTGTATTAGCCCCAGGATAAACCAGCGACCATTTCAGGTTAACATTACAAAGCAATTGGAAAATAAGAGCTGTAGAGATCGGTGCCATGGTACAAAGGTTGACGAAGTCTGCCTCTGGACAGAAGACTAAATGCTAAGAGAGAATCACCACCATCTGATCCACATAAAGAAGGCAAACGTTCCACTCTAGAAATGCAACTCATACGATTAGCAAAAAGTCGTGAACTTGTTGCAGAACACTGTGAGCTAGTCCATTACATGAGAAGAGTTGGAAAGGAAACTAGAAAGGATGTCTGAAGAGCAGAGCTGAGAACCAGGGCCAATCTGTTCACAGAGGAGCTAACAATTTTTCCACAAAGCTCTTCAGCTAACATAAGATTATCAATGGCAACTGTACCATTAAAAAAAGAAACTACATTTCACCAGCTAAAACTGAAAAGTAGTGTATCTACTGCAATACCACCATAATTATAGAAATGAGGCTCAAACAGGAAGCCAGTGGTTTCATGCAAATGCAAAGAGAATTACTTGAGAAATGCCAAACATTCTCAATCTGAGTTTTTTATTTTCTTCCTGCTTCTTTGCCTTTAGAGCAAACCTGGTAACTAGATGGTATCCTGGTAGATCTGGTGGTATGGCACCTAGCTGCTTTTCCACTTCAGAGCGTCTGTTTCCTGAGGAAGTAACATTCTCGGTGATATACCTCTTCAACTTGCCTTTGGGGTATTGTATAGGCATGCTTCTTCTCAATATTAGGAGTCATGGGTCATTCTCCTCTGGTCGTAGTAGTTAATTTTTTATTTTTTTTTTGCTTCCACTTGCTGCCTGCTCTTAGGGCGATATGGAACTACACACTGTATTTAGTGATTGATTTATGACAATGACCTTGGTTCCTTTGTATTATGTTTCTATGTGTATTACCTCACCTTTCACAATTAATTCACTGGGTGGTTCAGCTTTGCCATCCTGGGAGCTACTCCCATGTTTATGTCCTGAAAAATATACTTCATAAACCGACTTTATATTTTTATGAAATTTTCAGACATCCTGAAGTCCAACCATTTCTGGAGATCTGCTTATATGCTGGCTGCTGGATATCTGCCTAATATTCAGTGCCTTTGTCACAGTGAGGAGATGTTTAACAGTCCACATCTAAAAGTACACCCAGAAAGAAGGAAGACCATATTATGCATTACACAAATATACACTAATAGAGACAGAGCAAAGGAGTGGCAAGCAATGGTAAACTGAGGACGAGCAATTTATTTCCAGTGTACAAGTGACTAGACATAAAACAAATTATTCTTATATGCCAGTTAATGTCTTGACAGTTGAAGCCAGCCCCAAAGTGATTTGCCCGAAATGCTGCGCATATTAGTGGCTTTAGGTATAGTATGAACTAGTTCTTGTACAGTACAGGAATGTACTTAAAGTGAATGTACTCCTGTACTTTATCCAGTACAGGAATTGTAAATGGGAGGTCAAAGGCTCACTTCCCAGGTGGAGTGAGTATAGACAAGTTTAGACAAGATTAGACAAGATTGTTTCTCTTCATCTAGCACAGAGAGAACCTGAATGCAAGGTCCAGAAGAAGATAATGAGGGACCATGGGTTCAAGGGGCTGGAACCCTGTGGCTGGTTATTTTTTTACACATTACAGTATTTTCTGAATAAAATATTTTATCTTTCATTTACTATTGCACAAAAACTTCATTTTATTTTTACTTATACATTCTGATCAGTATAAATGTCATTGTCATACTATATAAGGTTAGACTCTGTGCAAGTAGCGGTGTGGTTCTAGACAGAAAATTATCACCAGAGGACCACATAAAGAACATTGAGCGAAGAACCTATGCTACACTTTCCAATTTCAGAATGACTTAAATACATGGATGGTGAAATACTAAAGAAATTGTTCACGACCTTTGCGAGACCAAGCTGGAATATGCAGCAGTTATATGGTGGCCATATCTTAAGCACATCAGCAAACTGGAAAAGGTGCAAAGACATGCAACTAAATGGCTCCCGGAACTGAAGGACAAGAAGGGCAAGAGCTTTTTCTTCTGACATAGAACTTCAAGAACAAGAAGTCATAGATTTAAACTAACTAAACAAAGTTGCCAAAGAAATATGAGAAAATTAACTTTGGCAAACAAGGTGGTAGACTGTTGGAACAAGTTAGGTGAGGTGGGGGTGAAGGCCACAACCATCAGTATTGTAGTTTCAAAGCATTATATGACAGTGTACTGGGAAGACACCACATTATCAGAGTAACTCTCATCCTATAACTACACTTTGGTAATTACAGAGTCTAACCTTAGATAATGACCAAGCCTCAAATCAGAAGATGGAGAAACGACATTTCAGTCCGTCCTGGACCAATATCAAGTCGTGTTTTCAGTCCAGGGGTAGATTGAAATGTTTTCCTTTCTCCATCTGACGTGTGGTTTGGTCATCATATCTCCAGCCACTTTATTGTGACTAACTTTTTATTTATATATATATATATATATATATATATATATATATATATATATATATATATATATATATATATATATATATATATATATATATATATATATATATATATATATATATATATATATATATATATATATATATATATATATATATATATATATATATATATATATATATATATATATATATATATATATATATATATATATATATATATATATATATATATATATATATATATATATATATATATATATATATATATATATATATATATATATATATATATATATATATATATATATATATATATATATATATATATATATATATATATATATATATATATATATATATATATATATATATATATATATATATATATATATATATATATATATATCTATATATATATATATATATATATATATATATATATATATATATATATATATATATATATATATATATATATATATATATATATATATATATATATATATATATATTTTATACATCAATAATCAACTTACAGATGTGGCAGTGTACCCATCAGTTTACATACCCCAGATCAATTACCACCGATGCCTGTTTAACAAGAAATAATTTTGATAATGAGGAACTGGCAGTAACATTATGATGTAAACACTTGCTACTTTGTGTACAGTACTGTATTTATACTGTATGCCAATACTTCAGAGGCACTGGAATAGCTATCAAAATGGTCAGTAATAAGACATGTTCTGTTGGGAATGTGAAACTTTACATAATGTGTGTGCCATCAGATTGAAAATAATTGCTATGTACTGTAAAAGATTGAGCGGGTATATAATACTTACACGATGTGTGTATGTGTTGGTATATAGAGGTGCGTGTTCATACAACCACAGAAAGATAATTGGGAAAAATATGCCTATGTAAGCTGCCTCATTACTACTTATGCTACAAGTAAAAAGACATCTTTTGTACTTACCATAACAACATATCATAAGGTAATGCATCATGAAAAATTGTACAAGCCACAAGAAAATAAAAGTCAAAGACAATATAGTAAGTATCACGGAAATACCAACATATGGCATAAGACAGTACAATCAAACATATGCCACATATACAGTACATATGCCACAAAAACAGTACATATAAATGCCACAAGACAAACATTAATAGTTAATGATATTTGTAAATTAGAAAAATGCTGGTGGCATCATGAAGAATGTGTGAGGAGAAGTTTAGCCACTGCTTGTCCTGCAGTCATGCAGATTATAGTTGCTCCCACCTACTGTTGCATCTGTTGCTCTGGGTCAGTGACATGCAGCCCACACAAGACAAAGTACAATGTAGCAAGTTGCCAAGTGGGCTACCTACCAAGGATGGCCACCATTTTCTTGGTCACAACTTTCCACATTATGAGCTTTCCTA